CAAAGGTAGAAAAACTGGATTACTTTTTTCTACACCAGATTAGTCCCCCGTCAACCGCCGGGACCTTCCTTTCCTGCGCAAGCTTTCTATCCTCCGCTATGGTCCCTTCCTCCTGTGACACCAACACCTCCTGGAAGTGACGCGTATGCAACACAATGGTGTTTCATACAGTAGAAGGGACACAATCATGATATGACGGTAGATTTTTCGCTTCCCTTCCTCATCCTCCCTTCCTCTCTCCACTGCCCTCCAGCTGCCACTGCAGCACCATGTGGAATGAACGGAAGTGTGCTAAGCAGGTGTTTATATAGCCCTAAGAGTGTTATCACAACTATCCTGCTACAAAACATTGATATCTCAAATCCTGTAAGCTACCCGATTTGTTAGCGGTTTGTTTATCCCATGAGCTTCCTTCTCACTCACTTCATTTTGCGGACGGACACACATACATACATACACATACACACACACACATACATACACACACACATACAGATACACAAACCGACACACAAAGTTAGCGCTTTATAAATAGAAGGATAGACTGCTTATCGTCGAATTTCTGAGTCTTGTCGTCTTTATTATAAATTACTATGTATAGTTTATAAAAGTGGAATCCATGAGCTCGGGTAAAGCTCGGTTTTGTTGACCATCAACATGAGATCCGATCCGTCTTGTGGCCAGCCATCATAGTAAATAGTCTGAAAGTATACTCATTAACTGCTTTATGCCATGTAAAGCATAAAATAAGTATGAACTGTTTTATGTTGATCAACTCCTTTTGGATGCCCCACGTAAACATTTTCTTTCGAAATCGTAGCAGTGTTGACATGGGTATTCATCTCAACTGTTACTCTGGGGAGAGCCCGAAAGCGTCAGAGTTTTTATTCTCTAAGGAATTCTCATACAAATAAAGGAGGATTCCACGATAAGTTGAAGGTCCAGGAAGAAGAGGACACTTTCGCTGGAAAGGCAGGCGAACCTCGCAAGGGTGCGGACCGACAAGCAATTTGCAGCGATCTAGCATGGCCTCCCCGCGCCGCTAATGACGCGGCACGCCCATCGACTGGCTAACTACTCGCCGCTTTCTAGGATCAGCATAGAGAGCGTTAGAGTTGAAGAGATTAGCACCGATGAGAGTCGCATCGAATGCAGGAAATCAACGGGCAAGGAAGGGGTACCGTTTTGCAGGTTCTGGGCCGTTTCTCACGTTTTTCTTCATCCGGGCACCACTGAGTACCTCTACCTTAATTTTGATGTGCTGCTTTCTGATCGTAAATTCTGCCTTCATTAAAGAGCAGAAGCATTATACATAACTATCCCTTGACGCCCACATGACTTACAAATGTCCACTTGGGTTTAGTAATAATAGAAGGAGCAGAAGCTTCTTACCTTTTCGGACTTTGTGTTGAGAAATCCACTCCACCAAGAGAAAGTCCCAGTAGAAAGGACAAGTGCGTCACAGTGTAAAAGAATCGCCATGTCGACTTCGCGATGAACTCCTGGGCAGGCGAATATCATTCCTAAACAGAGCAATGGAAGTTTACGCCTCTAAGAACATATTGATTTGGGCCTAGATATTGTGCCCTTCATCTTTCGCCTATCTGTGTCTTTGCCCATCCTGAAAACGCGGCGACAGATCGCCTCAGACAACCAACGCTCCGACCAACAGACCTCACCCTACCGTCAGAACGCTACGCCCACATCTTTTTCTCACATTATGTAAAACGACCAGATAAAAGGCGCATCTGCTACTGGGAGCATAGCAGACGATTCCTTCGTATTGTAAAGCACACAATCATGAATACCTTTATCGTATGCTGGAAGGTGCTTCTTCGCCCATGTTGGATTGTCCGAGCACACGCGGAGGGTTCTGCTAGGATTTATGCATGACCTGAAAGCTGATTTACAGAAGATACCTTGAATCTCTTAACATTTCAAACTCATGAATGAATGAAATGATATTGCTATTCGGTTCTGATTGAATGTGTTTCAGAAGATGCGCATGTAATAGTCTGGTTTCATTCAAAAGTAGTATAAATTTATAGGCGCTTTGGCCCATACAACGACTTCCGGGCCCCTGAATGTATGTCAGAGCTTCAATCCTCTCAGGCGGACCTATGATTTCAGAGGAATGTAAGACTTGGATAAACTGGGCAAAGATCAAGTGGGGATTAGACCCCCGCACTGTGACGTGGTGACTGGGGCAACTCGTTACTATGTCACCCTTGCCCTTTGGAAATTTTGTATTTTGAAAAACTGATCCTATAATACCCTTCACATAAATGCACTGGTAACATTAGATCATGGATGTACACGTTTGAACTGCACGCAGCATATTCGAAAATAAACAGAATTTGAATTTTACAGAAATTTTTCAAATTCTCTTTTACACTAATGTGTTTGAATGCCTTGCCGAACTTTGACGGTCCTCTTTTCTATATTCGGATGAAATTCATAGGGTGAGATTTTACCACTGGTTTGGTAGGATAAAAGGCGGCGGTTTTCTGAGCGCTAATGAAGGTTGTCTCGTTATGTACTGGTCCTAATAACGTACACACAGCTACGCAATCAAATATGGAGTAATAAAACTGATATTTTTTGTTATTTTGTTTGAGTTCTTCTATATACTTCTATTCCTCCCCCTAGTTCCCTCTATTGGCGCACTCTGTTGAGTGTATAAATAAATAAATAAATAAATAAATAAATAAATAAATAAATAAATAAATAAATAAATAAATAAATAAATAAATAAATAAATAAATAAATAAAAATCTGAATTTAAAAGCTAAAGAAACGGTTTACCTAGTCAATGGCAATGCGCAATCAATTGCTCACATTCTCCTTCCTTCGCTGCCATTCTTCCATCGCTCTTTTATCCAGTTAGTCAGTGCGGATCGGCTCGATGACCGTGTCGAAGGTTCCGAGGTGTTCATCGCGATATCCATTCCGCGACGTACATGAACACCAATGTAGTACAAGTCATCCAGCACTAAACACTTCTGATACAACAGGATTACTGTAGTGAAATTTTGCCTGGTGATGGACACCCAAATTCATTGAAGTGGCTGTGACAAAGAAATACATAGCGGTAAGTAAGTGAGCTCCAAAACCAAGATTGGCAAATAGCTTCAAATTGAGCCGAGTGTTACGGTGCTTTCACTTCTCAGGGCCTGGATCATGTTTTTGTACTTTGAAGTAGTGTTTTGAAGCTTTGGCCTAATAAATTAATACTAATTTGGTTGGAAGCACAGTTACTACGCTATCGTATTCTGAAAACTATGCCAAGATTTATACAAAGTGGAACTTGGACACTGCTGCGATTAAGATGTGGCGCGGAACGACTCACCTTATCCGAACCGCAGTGGTATTTATAGGCACGACTTCTTGTAAAAAATTGGGATTACTATATGAGAAAGGTGACATGTTTCGTGGTCAGAATTTGTTATGCAGAGCTTCCAAGACCTTGAGTTGCGCCCGTGGATTTTTTTCTTGGTCCTGATCTTGTCTTGAGATGAACTTCATGGGGGGCGCCTTCATTCACCCCACCTCTGTGTCATTTTCTCGACGTCTGTTACACCAGGAGTATCCCTTTGCCGCAAGCTCCTACAATGCCCAAAATGAACTGCAAAAGGGAAGCCCTAATTTGGAAGGTTTTCGGTGGTTCCATCGTAAAATTCAGTGGCAGGCCGTTCAGCACCTACAGCTTCATTTTGAGATTCCAGCCGTATCGTATCGTAGTCTACAAGGTGAAATGAGTTTCTGAGGTCAATTAAAAATGGCAGGCGCGTTCTATGCCGCGATAGCGGAGTCTCCGTTCCCTGGGGGCCTTGTGCAGCAGTACCCGGTTGGGGATGGGTCCCCAAAGCTCTGCACGTCTGAACGCTCCCTTCTCCTATTCCTGACAATGAGGACTGCGTTATCGGCCCCTATTGAGTTTTGGGGACTCATCCCCGGCCGGGTACACCTGCATACGGCCTCTGATCTGTGATTCCCACATTTATTTCCTTGAGCAAATGTTCCCGTTTCCTCGTTCGCCCTTACTCAGCTCTTCATAGATATTAATGTTGAACTGTAGCGCATTTGCACGGTAACGAGAGGTGCGGGTTCGTGTCCCGCCTGAGGCAAAAATTTTTGTTCGTAGCCAGCATTCTTGTGGAACTTTGTGATCGAGTTTTCTTAAATCTACTGGGAAAAAGAATCTAGGAGGAACTTTCGTTCAGAGACAAGCCCAAAATTTGTTCTCGAGAAGCCGGGATGAGCAGCCATTGGGCCGCTGTTCTTAAGCGGCTCCACCTGAAAACTCGTCAGCATAGTTGGCGTGTAGAGATGATGTTACAACGATTAGTAAAGCAAACATGGGATTAAGAAAGTAAAGAAATATCAACTATCTTTTTTATGCTGCATTATGAAGTATAAACACCGACTTACTGGCGTCGGTTTCCATTTCAAAGGCGCTTTCACTCGGTTTTCCGTCAAAGTAGAGGGGTCGAGCCTGTTCGAGTGCTCGTCGAGCTGCCAACGCTCTCAAAAAGGACATCGCCTGGAACATTGTTTCGTCATATTTGCCACAGAAAGGAGCAGAAAAAAGAGTTCCGAATACAAGGCCAGTGGCTTCAATATGGGACACGGTGAATTAGTTTAAATCTACCACCACCACCTATGCCGATCAGCGTGCAATGTGTTGTTGGGCTTTTTTGCTCTCTTGAATACTGGTCAACTATTACAACTTCTACTTCCATTCTTGGACACGACAATCCACTTCTAGGCCATCGCGAAATGCGCCCCTGATCGCTCCGTGTATTAGGGATTGGCTCCCGGAGCGGTAGATTGGCCACTCGTTGGGATAAAAGTAGAGCTGCTAGCATGCAGCAGTGAAAAACTAAAGGAAGCGGCTTGAACCAGCAGAAAGGGACC